CAAACAATTCCTATATGATATAATAATGTCTAATCGAGTCAGACTTATGTAGAACATGGAAGAACGAACTGTAGTTTTACGTATTGTAACAATAGTTCACTGTAGGAAACGGATCAACCAATTATGTTAGACAACATTAATATTGTTCCATTGAACAAGCTAATGTTTGAATACATTTTTATAACTACATTGGAAGTTATTTTACTCATAAAAGGTTTTACTAACATACGTGTCAATAAACAGAAATAAAAAAGAGATATAATAGAGCAACGTCGGGATAGTAGGTAGGTGTGCAGTATCTATCAAAATTGTTCAATAGCAGTACATTGCAACGCGAAAGTTTAGCGATATAGTGAGAAGAGAGAAGAGAGAGAGAGAGAAAGAGAGAGAGAGAGAGAGTCAGGAAAGGAGAGAGAGATTTGTCAATCGGTAGATATTATTGTATGTCACTTGGGATAGAATCATAAACAACGTGCTGCTTAGGAGATTGAGCGAAAAAAAAAATACCGTGGAAACAAATGTAAGGTCGATAAAAATACGTCTCAGTGAAATCACAAGCACGTTCGTAAGAATGCACTCGTAAAGTGTCCATTCAATGATGTTATTTCGAAACGCACAATAACTTCGGAACTATACAACGGAACGGACGGAAAACTATACAATGATACAAAAGATGTATTCCATATAAACGTTGATGTACAGGCGGTACGAAAAGCTTTTTGATACTTTTATAACTCTACTATAATACTTAATATGAAAAAAGATGTTTTAGTCAAGTGAAAGGATAGGTGTTAGTAGATTGATGGCAGAAATTTACAAAGCGTGTGTGGATGGAAACATGGAGAGAATAGCCGCTTAGGTAAAGAGGGTATCACATTACCATATATTCCTTGCCTTCACTTTAGTTCATTTTCGAATGGCACTTACTACAGACTTTAGGCCCACGACACAATTGTACCTGTACATAATTGTGATGATGAAAAGCTTCCGTGGTGACTTACTGTACACCTATTCTCAGATTTCATATTAAAATTTAAAATTAAAATACTGCTGATATAAAACGACGCAACAACATTTAAATTCGTCTGAATAATAGACCAAATTCAAGCCAGACTCATTTAAGTTAAAACTTAAAAGCTAAGTAAATAGAGCGTATTTTGCCATGACAGTTAAGACGCGCGCGGTCACTGCGCGTCGGCAACGCGGATTCCGCTTCATCGTTTTCGATCAGTCTGAAACGGATTGTGAAGACAAATCGTCCCGTATATGGGAGCCTTATTACGCGACGCGACGAACGCCCTACGCTAAGCAAAGCGGTGAACCATAGAGGTTACGTGTTAGTTGCCGGCGCTCTGTTTAGCGTTGCAGCCTTTTGTTATAAATACTACAACACAATATCTTTCCGTGATAGATAGGCTACTCTACGTTAAGTTACCATTCGTTAACGAAGTTTATTGTAAATTATATGACTTATAGGGTCGCATTCTAGACCTCTACTCAATGCTCAAGTCAGGATTTGAGAATGGTTTAAAGCACTCGAAATCATACTCAAGTCCCTTCCATTAGGGTCTTATTTCCAGTGCTTGAAATCATACTCAAGTCTGCTCAAATCCTGACTTGAGCATTGAGTACAGTTCTGGAATACGACCCTTACTGCCCTAGCAACGAAAAAAGGCACAACTATGCGTACTTTATACAGCAGTTGTGCCTTTTTTCGTTCTGAGGGCAGTATAAATGTTCTATAGTTACACTAATTCTATTCGTTTTAATGTAGCAACTCGTTAAATATTTTATTATTATAAAATTTCCAACCAATTCTTAATCTGATTAATTTTGATTTTAAAAGTGTTGTATTTTCCTTTGAAGACGAAATTACCTCTTTTGCATAATAATTAACTTGTCATTTAATCATACTTAACGCTAAATATTGCGACAGGAAGCCATAATTCGTTGTTCTTTATAATGTTAAAAAAAAATAAGCATCACATTAATTTGTAACATGTATGGTATTTTATGATCACGTACCACAAAAGCTTTTTTATGACACAACACTGATGTTGTTAGTTTTTCATATATTAATAGATTCCATTAAATAATTACAATAAAAATTGATTGAAAATAGATACAATAGAAATAGACTACCTTTTCGAAACAATGTTTGTTTAGTGTTGTGGAGCTCCGCAGTCATGACTGCAAATCTCACAGCCTGGATTCGCCCACGGGCACCCGCCCTAATAGCAGGTTTATTGTTTTCCTACTTGGGGCTTGTACCTATTACACCTATTGAACACTGGGAAGCATTAAATATCTATGTCAGAACGTAATGGGTTTAAGGATATAATATATTAATGTATTGCTTTAAGCCCAAACAATAGATAATTAAACCTACATATGAAATTAAATACTCCAGAGTCTTTAAGATAAATAAACGTCTTATTATGTTCTATTGAATTTTGTAAGAAAAATACGTAGTAAACCCTGAAACAATAATTATCGTTGAAAAATAACCTTATACTTCTTTCTGCTTATGCATTTACCACTTCAGTTTGGGTCGTTGATTACTTTCGCTTGTTTCTCGCCATACGTATTTCCTCACGGTATTTTACACAGATTTTCATTCAACAACATAGAGAAAGCTAATGTTTTTACTTCTAAAACATGTTTTTTTCCCTTTTCGGACACTTTATGCTTATATGTATTCTTATTATCGTCTCGACGACGAGGTTTCCAATGATTGAATAAACAAAATACGCAACAAAAAGTTGTTACAAAGGGACCGGTTGCTTGTCCCTATTCTAGTGAATATGTTACGTGAGATAATACCAGTAAATCGGATTAGTGTCAACACGCGCAAGAGGTATCCATTTACCGGTTCAAGATTATGTTGACAGGATATTTAAAACCTTTTTGTAAATATTTTTGTGTGGTGCACGGTTGGGGTCAGGTTTATGGCTTTTGTTCGTAATGAATGATATTAGTTTAAAAGTAGTAAAAAGTTAAATCCTTCGTGAAACAGAGAGAATTTTTCAAAGCATTTGCTTGAGGTGAAATGGGAGAGGATCAATCTTAGCACGTTGGTAATATTACATATATTTGTAAAAGCGCTCGTTCTAGACGTTTCCATGAGAAAGTATGATTTATTTCTAAGTTACAGGCAGTCAGTTAATAAAGCCGTTGTAAAGCATTGGCGATTGTATAAGGTCGTGGTCTGTGATTTAAGCTGACGCGAGCTAGACAACAAGATTGCCTTATTTAGGCTGGCATCATCGTGCGGCTACCCAGTAGCTGACCGACACCTAAGGCTTGAGGTTAAGCCAATAAAATGACGCAACAAGCGTATGCCCCGCGCCACTAGCCGAGTGTACAATTGATGGGTTCGCCAGCAAACTCAATGAAACTAACTGCAACATAAGATATTAATGTATTATATAACCATGAACTTAATTTTTTATTAAATCATTTGTTACGTTCTTCACACAATCTTACGTTGAATTTAGGTTTAAAATATCTTAAAAAATCTATATATATATCTCGTTAAGTTTAAACGCAAACATGAACCTATAGTAGTTATCAGATTATTTGTTGGCAAATTATTGAAACGGTCTCTGGCAAATGTTTGAGATTACGAAAATTAAAGAAGGCGAGCATTTTGTAACAAAATTAGGTCTAATTATCGAATTACGGCCTTCAATTACGTTCATTAGAGCTTCAAGTTGTTTAAGTGTTTTGTTTTTGTTGCAGGATGCTTAAAGGTTTGATTGTGGTCCTGCAGGTTTTGAGTCATTACAGCTGTGCCAATATGTGAACGTAAAGGCGTACAACAGGAATAGATATAAGTGGAAATCAAACGATGACTTTTGTGAGTTAATTTTCGGATTAATGTTGAATAGGTCATTTAGAATGTAGATCATTGGATCATGTTTTCGGTTACATTGCATTCAACAAAAGTCAGAGCTTGTAATGAATAAGAAATTTATGATGTTGACCTAATTTATTTGTCCTTTCCTTTTAGTTTCATAGGACTGACATAAATAATTATTTATTTCACCGTAAATTTTGTATTTTCTGTGTCATGCATTTGTTTGCGATTTTAGGAGCGTAGCTTACAACATCTTCGAGCGTCACATACATTATGAATGAGACAAGCATTTGAAAATTTCTAAACTACATCACAAATAAAAGATGTTCAAACACAGAATGTAATAAATTCTTAGGACAAAATGCCTTCGTCTTCTACAACTTCTACTTCTACTAAATATACTTTAGAGGCCACTCAATACTTTCTCTTTGTACCTACTGCTTTGCATTTATTTGTATTGCATATTCTTAGAGGTTTTGTTAATTCTGTTGTAAAAAATACGTACAAACCTAGACATCTACTCGAAGTTAACAAAAAACCTACGTACCTTTGTAAAGAAATGTTAAACATTTGTCTTAGGGAAGAGCTGAGTTTCACTAATTCACCCAAGCTCATTGTGGTCACGATCCTCGCCACGTCATTAACGTGGGAGACACCAGAAGTATCTGATACTACCCTGAATGTTCACTTAAAGATTTCCCTGGTGAAAATACTGTTGACCCTAAAGAGAAAGCAACAGAAATTCTGCCACAAGCATAATGCGAAATCGTGACACTAAACAGAGGTGTTTTGCATCTCCTTATATTTCATAATCATACTATATAGTTGTTGAATCACACTATAAAGAACATCGTAAATATAAAATATTGACACACCCAAAAACTAAAACGACACGTAATTGATTTTAAAATTATTAAGTTGCACAGCTCTCGCCTTTCCACAAAATGGAAACTATTCTAACCTACCTACCACTAGTACATATCTACGACAGAAATTTATGAAGTAAACGTGAAAGGAAATGTGGAGAATATTTGTCTATATGTATGAAGAAACTGATATTGTTCAGGTTTGCTGTGAGCCTGTCGTCGAGGTCTATAGTCTCTGATGCAATTATTAATCAACACAAATAATTTTGTTACAGATAACCGAGAGAAAATGATGGCTTGTTGGTTAGTATTGGCGATAGTAGCGGCGAGCTGGCAAACCTTGGACGGCTGCTCGTGCCAGTGGGAACATCCACAGACCCTCTTCTGCAAGGCCGACTTTGGTAAATCTCATCTCTTTCTCATTTATTAGTAAACGGAGTAAATTGGAAAGAATAACATTCATACTAAGAAAATTTAAACAAAACAAGGTCCATCGATGTTAACGGATCGATGAAACTGATGAGTTCACTGAACTTTGTATTCCTTCTTATAGCAATCAAAACTTTTTACATTCCAGTGGTCGTTGGCAGAGTACAGAAAATGTTCAAAGGAAACGAATACTACAGGTCATACAAAATAAAGATCAGAAATATTTTCAAAGTAAGCATTTTTACTTTCGTTTATTACTTTCATCTGTTTTCGCATGTTTGGTTATTGTTAAAGGAAGTAGAAAATTTTCCGAACGCCTAATGATTATAAGTTAATTACGTAATTGCGTTCATCAATCATTTTCATTATTAGTTTTGCAATGTGTTGAAGACACTATAAATTATAACAATTTTATCGCGTTTCAGGCGACTCCAAAAGCCCGTGCAGTACTACAAAATGGTCGAATATTAACACCAATCTACGACAGTCAGTGCGGAATCCAACTTCAGCCCAAAGATACCTACGTCTTAACAGGTGACTGTTGTATTATTATTTAGACGCGAATAACGACTCCAATGCTATCATAGGCTATGACAGATCATTGGAAATCTTGATAATAGTGATCCTGAAGGAAATATAGGTATCTTATAAAGGTCAAGTTTAGTTTCCATTTGGGATATAAGTACTCTTAATTTGGTTTGAAATAATCTAGAAAAACTGTTATTACATTCTTATCTTATTAAACATTTTGATTAGCAAATTCATTGTGATAAAATGAAAATTATAAGCCAGCGAAATATTTATTTTGTGTAAATTAAAAAATAAAGTGTGATTTTGACCTTCATCTCACGTGATGGAAATTGAGGATGACTTCGACTATGGAGCAAGCACGCCTAAATAATGCCTATTCACTCTCACCTTGAAAACGCGTTCTGGGTACAAGTCTGCCGGTAGGGAATTCCATTCCATAGCCGTTCGCCCAATAAATATGGAAGCGAAAAGCCTCGTGCGAATCCTTGGAATATCCATAACATTGCAATTTCCTGCATAATTTGTAAATAAACAGGTCAAATTACGATTACATATTACGTAATTTGTCTATTAGCAAACAATAGAATAAGGCCAAACATTACTGATGCTTTACTTCGATGGTAATACCGTACAAGATCAAGTCTGTATATTTTAAAACTACGACAACGTAACAAATCATACGATTGCAATTATCTCAATGCTATAACTTCTTCATAGTTTGACCTAGTACCCTTATTATTTAACAAATAAACCACGACTGACTGAATAATTGAATATATGTACTCGAGACAGCATTCTAACAAGATTTTACTACCTTTGAGATCGAAGTGTCATAATTTGAGAATTGTACATAATTTTAGGTAGAATAATCCACGCGCAAGCGCAAGTCAACTTATGCGACTTCTACTCTAAATGGCGTGAAGTCACTCCCAGACAGAGAAAAGGATTCAGGCTGCTCTACCAACAAGGATGTACTTGCAAGGTAAGAAGTTAATTTTAACGAAAAATTTGGTGATATTTCAGTTGTGTCCTGATGTCACTGTTGTTTTTCCATTAGCATCAACTTGAATTTGGCACGCTTATAAAATTATTATGTGCTAGCGTATATTATGTGAAAAATGTTTTATTAAGATTGAAAATGTCGTCCAAAACCAAGGGACGAAATCTAAAAGGGACGCAGCTAGGTCAAATGAGGTCGATTGGATTTCCTTTGCACTTTCCGTCGTCGTGTTATTTAGTTTGTGACTTATGAAAAAATGTTCTTTTGCACCAAACAACCCAAAGACATCCGGCGACCGTTGAAGGGGGACATTCCCTCCGAAATTAATAAGCGGAAAAATCGATAACAACTCCGACTGAAAAACTGGAAAGAATAGGAACGAAGTTTCAAAAACATTTTTTAAATTTTGAGAACAAATGAAACTGATTATGAAAGCAATTGCGTGTCAGGTCTTGCGTACGATACCCTCGGGCACGCGAGCTCTACTGCCTGTACCTGGTGAGGTTTTTATGTGTTTATTTACAAACTGAAAACAATAGTTGAGATTGTTAAGGTAATAATAATATTACAGTGACAGACAATCACTTTAATCACCTTATTATTGATCAGTAGCAATAAAGCTCCTTGTGAAAGAGAAGTAGGTACAGGGAAGTAGGTACTGCCACCTTATCTACTTCTGCCACTAAGCAGCAATGTGAGCATTACTGCGTTCGGTTTTGAAGGGTAAGGGTGCTAGTGAAATTACTTGTCAACTTGTGTCTCAGGGTGACGTGCGCAGTGGAAGTGACCCTCAGATTTTTGTGATTTAAAGCTCACAAAAGCTCGTGGCACTGCAACTGTTATGGATAGACGTGTTGCTTACCACCAGGCGCACGACTTGTCCGTCCTGATCACGCCGCAAATCTCGAGAAAACAAAATTTAAAAATGCAAAGACCTTTTTAACGGATGTCTTATTTGATTTAAATTACGAACAACTTGTAAAATATGCAATAGTACATTCGTCCATTCACGGATTTCCACTTTCAGCCTCGTTTCTTTTCTTTCGGCTTAACGTTTGCGTTTTTATAACAACAACAGTTCAAATTTCAATACAAAAAAGCACAGGGGCCTTACCATGAACTCTTTTTACAGTTCAGTAAGGTTCGTAACGACAAAGAAGCGGGATGGTGATATACACTTCATGTAGCGTTGTCTGACAACGATTCATTTTAGATCCTAAACTGAATTGTATTAAGAGTTCATGGTAAGACCCCAGGACTTTTAAGGTCCTTTAAACGTGTGCACGAACATAAATATGCATGTAATGCAAATCAAAACTTTACTACCGGCAACGGAAATGTTTTTGGTAAAATTAATCATATGACAATTTCAACGGGTACAGTCACGCAATTCTGAAATTTGTTACCTACTCCTTTAACGTATTAACAAGCTCATAATACTACACGGTAATTAACTTTTGGCCGGTGTGACCGAAAACACGTGGGTCAGATACTCTATACATTATCGACGCTTTAGAGTTACACACGGCGACTTATAGCAGCGATGCAAACACGCGTTCGTGAAACGCGCGATTACAACACTACACTTGTGATTTATAGGCGGCTGCCTCGATGCAACCGCGCGACAGCATCGATACTAACGCGCGATTGCATCGATGCAGTCGTGCATTTGCATCGCTGCTGAAAATTACCGTGTGTTCCACTGTAGCCGTAGAGTGAAAACTTCACATTTTTACATAGTTTGCTTTTACAAATTTCAGTTGAAGCAAAACTCTTAAACCTCTTGCTAAAATGTATTATATGAATAGAATAGCGTCTGAAAGGGGTTGATTGACTAAGGAACAGGTAATTTAATTAATTAAAGCGCAACTATCAAAATTATTATGTTTACTATATTTTACACCATTTCGTAAATTTCTTCCTAAAACATTAGGTACATAGAAAAGTACTCTAATACGACTTGTACTACTTCAATTTGCATTATATACAAATTTTGATTAAGCGAGTCATCTATTTATTAATTGAAGATCATTGTTTAGCGCTTAATGTGGTTCGCGGAATAATCATTATGTCATCTTTATTTACGATGACATAATTTGAGTAAAAGTGTATACTTTACATCCGAGTTATAAAGGGCTTTTGTTTGAAAAGCCATTTATAACTCGGCATTACAAACTGTAAAGTTATATTAATTAGATGCATGACTTAATTATAACAGTTTTACCTAATAATTAAAGAATAATTATAATTCTTATTTGTAGGTGCACATGAACCGGTTTTCGTCAATTTCGCCCAATTCTTGCTTGGGCCAACGAAATATGTGCTACGAGAAACATGGCATCTGTCTGCATGGGGAGTACCGACGGTGCCGTTGGACTAGGTAATATTTACATTCGATCATTTTTAATTCGTTTTTTGCAATACATATTACTAACTTTATTCTCTTAATCAATAAAAGATCCAGAAAACTAAATATAGTATATTTTTCATATAAATATAATATGAAAAAGCGTTCAAAAGTGTATTTTTCTAGATACCCTTTGGTCATAACGAATACTATCTAACGGTAAATTTAAATGCGACATTTTCATTAATGTATATGCGTTTACGTGATCATGGGAATACGAGTATTGTCTGGGTTTAAAGCACTTCACTTATTATCAACATTTTGATGTACACGGGGTTTGAGAAGGTTAACTACCTGTAGGGCTAGCACGACAGGGCGCGACTTACGCGACTACTACTGCAGTCTATTCCGTAGTTTAATAAATATTATTTATTCTGTATATTAATTTATTTATTCTATCTGTACTATCTTCTCAAAATATATAGCCGTCCACTCGGATATTATATAAGCACATACACAGGCACTCCAAACCACATTAATGTTGCTGACGACCAACGAGATAATATGATGACATTGACCAAAGAACAAAGATCGATAATATTACGATAATAATACCTGTACCTATTACAGTTAGAACCTTGACGATTAGAAAAAAACACACAATTGTATTTATTTGTTCTGGATTAACATGCCATTGTGTAAATTAACGTATGCATTTACGTGTCAATCAAGTGTTAAATCGCTGAACGGGCGTTTAACATTGCGAATTTACGTAATTTAAAACAATGTGCCTCCTTGGTCAGAAACATGAGAACAATACATTTAGTTCCAGTAGCTACATTCCGCATTAATATTTCAAGCAAGTATAATTTTTTCTATTCCACTTAAACTTGAGCTGAATATTTAAAATCATATCATCTCGCATTTGAATTTAGAATTGTGCCTCGATTTTGCCGGGAAAGCTATTTTAGTAAAGCTGGTCGCCATACCGTCGTCTAAAAGATAATCCGAATATTCAACTTGAAGATGAGACTTCTCGCCCAGAATTAGAAGATCATAGGATAAAAAATAAAAATAATTTGACTCAAAAATAAAACAATAAATTGTGTTTAGCAAACGTGCCAATTCAACGCCTTACAGTTATTTATTGCTGAGATTTAATATGGGTCGACATCGTGAACGTAAAACATTTTGATGTGTGCTCATTTCCGGGGTTCTTGTCGATCAATTCTGACACCGTTTTGTACGTTACAAGTATATAACATAAATATATTATTTACTACTTACTAACTAGAATAAAGGTGGTAAGGTCATTGTAAAACTTGTCTGGGTAGGTACCCCCGCGCTATCCATTTGAATCGCAAAACAGTAGTGCTATATCTCATTGAAAGGTAGGAAGAGCTAACGCACTTATTGGCACAGAAGGGTAATGCGTTTCCGTTATTATGAATTTATTTTGATAACTTCCTTCTATCACGTCGAACCTCTATCGGTTTGAATGCCACAAAGAAGAGTTATTTTGAAGCGGAATATCATGTAGAGAAGACCGCCCATACACAAAGACGAATTAAAAAAAATACAGTGGTGGTCATAGAATTAAGAATGATTAATGACACAAAGCCATTATTATTTTGCTATAACCATAAAGTGTAGAAATAATTTAAAATTATGCTCGTTAAACAATATTATCTGGATTGACCTATTTTATTTAGGTAATAATCTGGTTTAAATAATGGTACCTATATATATATTTATTTATTAAATCACAATCACTCAGTTACTTACTTACCCGGAACACTGGCTGGACAAATAATTAAGAACTAAAATATAATACAAGAGCTACAAGAGAAGTTATAATAAAGCTGCGTAGTTGTAAGGGGTCATATCAGAAAATTGCAGATCATTTGCATTGCTCAAAAACCAAAAAAGTGTATCGGGCCGTGAAACGTTTTAAAACACACAAGACAACTATGAATATACCTGTAAACCTAAAGAAAGAAAAACGTCTCCACGAGAAAATTCAAGAATAGTTAATCTCGCTAAGCAGGACCCTTTCAAAGGCTCAAATCAAATAAAAAACGAAGTTTTTAGTGAAAACAATCCTCGAGCAGTGTCTGCACGCACCGTTCAAAGACGCTTGGTGGAGGCACACTTATTTGGGAGAGTAACAAGGAACGTGCTCATGTTGCCACCACGACACAAGACAGGCCCGACTTGCGTTTGCAAGGAAATATGAACAAATATGAACAATGGAACTCTATTTCACTTAAACTGCAAAAAGTTAACAGACTCGATGCCACGCCGCTGCCATGCCGTTATCCACTGTCGAGGACAGGGTACTAAATATTAAATTCCTTTTTTTATTTATCATTATATTATTAAGAAAACGTAGTTAAATTAATTAATATATACCACTTCTCAAATTATTGAAATATTGTGAATACTACAGTCAAGTCCCTACCTCGTTCTTAATCGTTGTCCAGCCTGGAGGCGAAAATACTGTTAAAATTAGAATCATTTTAATTTTATTGATCCATCTATATAGGATCCATCCTATTTCAGTTTGAATAAAATTACTATGATTCTAATTTTAACAGTATTTTTAAATATCATATTTTTATTTAATTTTATATTTTGTTAGCCCCTAATGTGTACTAGCTAAATAGTATTTTTTTCTGCTAGCACTATTGTGAATAATTTCCAGTAGGGTTATTATGTTTATTATGAACATTTGTATATCAAAATGGTGCCGTACTATGAAGCGTATATATACACTTACAACGATTTTTCGTACCTTAAAAATTTCTATTTTGGCACTATTCTGTGAAAGGGTTGCGATACTACCACTCTCTATATTACTACTCTCTACATCCACAAATATACATTTGTAAATTTTTATATACATTTGTATACATGGTACAGTGTGACGGGCTTATTTCCGCAACTCGGCGTCAAGGCGTCTATTTCGCGTGTATACATTTATAAACATCGAGTTCTTAGGTTTTCGCGATTGTTACACATTGAAAATGAAATTTTCTTTTAACTACAGTCAAAAGAAAATTTACATGACCATGTAACGGAAAGGGCCCGGGTCAAGTGCTTTATTTGAAAGAATTAGATATACACAATTTGCAAAAAAAATGTTTCATTTCCTTTCTGTACGTTTGTAAATTTATATAAGAAAATGAAACTATCTAATATAAACAAGTATATGATATATGTGATGATTTTTTTTATTGAATTGATATTCAATTATTATTTTATGTGAAATTACTCCACTAGTTTGTTATAATTATTAATACAAAGATCGAACACTCAGAAAAAATTCCTTCGATCCGGCCAAAAAAACCAAATACAAAGACAGAACAACAAGCACATAGAAAAATTCGTGAGGTCCGCTGGTTCGTTACGTGGCTTAGTTGGTATAGCGTCTGGCACGGTATGTTAGAAGACGTCGGTTCGAATCCGGCCGGATCGAAGGAATTTTCTCTAAGTGTTCGATCTTTGTATTAATAATTAACTACAATGTGAGTTTCGCCTTTCCAAATAATACCTAGTTTAATGTTATATTTTCATTTTCAGGGCCCCAGTTCTCAAGAGATGCCTACAACAAGCAGCGGCCAACAAAACGATGACGACGACTACTTGATCTTCCCTTCGAACCCGAACTATATTTACTTATCACCATTGCATATTTCGATGTGTCCATAGAAATCGACGTTCTTAGTTTATTAATAAGAGTATCTATATGACCGTCGATACGAAACCACGCCAAAAGTAATTCTAACAGTCTTAAAGGTCACTATCTCACGTACATACGCTTAAGGAGAATTTACATACTATACGCAAATAACTGAAATTGGTTTCACTTCGCCATTTTATTGTTAAACTGTTGAACTTTCAACTTCGGTCTATACTAAATTGTTGTGTTGTAATGTCTTCGTAGACAGTGCTAAGTTTAACGTTATTTTTATATTATTTATTTGTAAGTAAAAAAAAGTAAATTGTAAATTAACAATTATAGTGCTATTACAACATATTAGTTGCTATACAATGTTAGGTTAATAAAAACATACAAAATTACTTGCGATATTTTTCATTAACGCCTGTTTCATTATGCTAGCAAATATTCATGACGTCAATTCTTCTCTCACACGTTTAGGTCTCAAAAATTAATAGAGGTTAAACATTCTGCGTCTGTGGAAGTACGAGCTCAAATGAAAACAATTATACGAGTAATAATATTAGCATATTATATTGTAGGCGCAGTGGCGTAGCATTTACGGTCCCGGGGCAGGCGGCAGATTTCAAGAGACAGCATTCAATCAACAAATGTGTTAAAAATGTGGATGAATGAATGTAGTATTTTTTATGGTAAGTAACAATAAGTATATACATATTGTTACACTTACACATCTTCTTATAGACTCACTATAATGACTATCTGATTTTGCCAGAGAGTGAATAAAAAAGAACGCTTTGGTAATTGCTGAACGTAAGCAAGAGGACGTGAGTGATTATATGAAGCTTTTTCCCGATTCAAGTATCAGGAGCTGTAAGACAAAATTCTAAACGCGAAGTTAGTCGATTGTTGCGCCACTGCTAAATCACCTCTTATAACGCACTTGCGCAGCAGCGGGTCGGGTCTTAAACACTTGATCGCTCCGCTGAAGGTGGTCGGTGAGTTTCTTGTCAAAGACTCAAAAATTTCGCCAATTTTTTATAGGTATGTATGCATTTTTGTAAACCTCCTGGGAAACGTATTAAATTCCTTGTATCAAAAAAGTTTATCGATAAATCTACCACATAACTGGAATGAGCATCAAACAATGAAATTTAAAACGAACGTGTTCCCACCCACACACCCATGCTCGCGTCACTGTCGATAAAGACAGAAACAATATTTTCAAATTACCCACTCCAACCCGCTCGGTTGGATAAAACAACCCTTCTAAGATCTTCAATGTCTATGTCGAGATTATCAAATCAGCATTTTAGCCATCATCCAAGATTTATAGCGAGAACGCCCGAAAAATATCATTTCTATTTAAGAAGGAATTTCACTGATATTTTACCGATTCCTTTGTCGCGGCGCATAAAAAATACGGAGGCAGCGAAATTAGGTTCTGTCCCGAGCGACAAGAATTCACTCTATATTGAGTAGACGTTATTGCGATAGATAGATTATGCGGTATAGAACTCCGGTATAGTAACTATTAGTTTCAAACCATATGTCCTTAACCTATTAACCTAACATTCGCATCAAAAATTTACAACTTCACAAGCCGCCGATTATAATAACATAATGCAATCTATAAAAATAGAACGTTAGTACAAAATTATCGTCGTTTATAGGATATAGATTAAGTTAGAAGAAAGTAAGAAGACTTACCATGTCCGTATGGTTGTGGTAATAGGTCTGCTCGATGAGAGGGAAGTTCTCCCGGCCCAGACGCCTTTGTAGCTGCAGTAGATGGCCGAATACCCACGGCCGATCCTTAACACAATAAAACATAATGTAAAAACTGCAGAACAAACAAGGCTTTCTATACTTCGGGAAATCTTTCTGAAAGGCATTTTGTCCCTATGGATTTCCAAAGCTGTGAGAAAGTAGAAATAAAACGGAACCGTGATTTGCAAAATAGAAAGATATTTCTAATGTTTATTAAATTCTATTTTGTACTAAGTAATTTCAAATTTGAAAATATGAAATACTTGGAAGTGATAGATGGAGTTCAAGCTGTTGATGGAAGGCACACCGCCAAACTTCAGTCCAAGGAGCAGCGCGCGATAGTCTGCGCCCGCGTCGCGCACATTCTGCCGCACCAGCACAAACTCAGGCCTAATATTAGAACAGACTCTGTCAGAAATAAGTTATAATATTATAAACCTTTCGTAATAAAAATATGATCATATACACTTTCTTATTTCAGTGATAAAATCTGCACACGTATGTACTGAATCAGAAATAACAGCAGAATATGAAAATGAAAGTTAATAAGAATTATTCACAGAAATTTAGGTATGAAACACATCACGTCACGGTAGTTAAATTTTATTAAAAAAATCGGACAATACCTATCAAGACAGTATTAAGATTCTACATTTTTCAATAACATTTTGTACATGGTATTATTAAGAAAATCGAACAAAATATTTCGATTAAAAATTACTTCTTAGTTCGTTAAAAAAAAAACAAAAAGGTATATAGTTAAATGTTTTAGAAATAAGAAAGTACAAATTGCAAAATTACTTTACTTACTTAAAGCACCGGGTGACTTTGGTGCCACCGCGATATACGGCCATCGAAACATTTGCGCCATCAGAATTCGCTGTCACCGAGAGTTCCTACAGAAAAAAACATTATATTTTCAATGACTTACTACTTACTCTGTTATTATGTAGTCAGAACACTCTCTGGGTTATTAATCCAGTAATTTTCAGATAAGTTTTTTGTACTCAATTTTGGTGACAATTTTTATTATTTAATTACTCGAATATATCATCGTGAAATATTTAAGAATATTTCAGGTTACCACACTCGAATATTAAATAAAACTTCATGATGATATTTTATAAATATTTAAAGAAACTCACCAAAATTGAGTACAAAAAACTTACCCGAAAATTACCCAATCTATGATTTATTTTTTGCCTTGTTTTAACACGCGTCATTACTTGCTTGCGAAAGGAGACAGATAGTGTGAAATTTTGTATACTATTTCGCAATTATCATATATTATAATGCACAAATTAATCAAAATCCACAACATTATTTACCGAGTCAATGTCAATAATTTAAATTTTTAAATTCATAAATTCACACATAATTAGTCAAATAGTGAAATGTGAGCAACACACCGATGTAAATTAATTTTCAAAGAGTGTTTCACCCCCTTTGCGTCCGCCATCTTGAATGTTTGACAACCAAATAAATGATGTGCAGCGTCTTCACCGCACATCAGTGACACACTGCGTGTGTCTGGAACGCCGCATCTAGTACGCTAGTACTAAGATATTGTACGTTGTATATTTTCGACAATTTAAATAAAGACACAAAAAACTTCGTAAACATATTCTCGACGTTTGTGAACTGACACCATAGCACGTTATATCTTTTCGGAATATAAGGCTTACCCGCTGCCGTAAATAAAAGCGCCGTAATAAAGGGATTCGTTATTTAAAATTGACCTTTTAAAAAGACAATGTTAAAAGAGATGGTATAATTTTTGCGTAGCTACACAAAAGAGATTGATTAAAAGGGTTTATTTAATTCAAAACGTTTAAACAGGAGGCGCAACGTAAAGTTGGCCTTTTCTAATACTTCTTCAGGGAATCGTTTTTATTTCCCTTTTATTACAAAAGTGGTCTACAATAGTACAAAAAAAGATTTATAGTGTTAAATAGCTATTAGACTACCACCTTCTTGGATAATCGAATGTGTAGTAATTGACCTTAACCAGTGTAACAATGAAAAGACGCACTGCGGATTTTCATTTTTTTTATTTATTATTATTACACTTTTCAATTTACAATGAACAAAACAAAAACAATGTGCATAAACCTATACAGATTTTTCGCACATTGTGCAGTTGTCATCTACACAATATAAAAAATTGAAAACATTGAATATTATAGTAGGTAATGTAACAATATGTCCGTAGCAATTTTATCACAGACAACACACCAAAAGTATTTTAGAAAAACAGACACATACACATACATTACGTATTAATGGTTAGGCGTAAACCAGCACCACTAGCCTGACAAACAACGTATTGCTACTCTTTGACAGCCGACGAACGCTGTGTCACTGCGCATTGGCCCCGTTCATTGAATATTCGACACAAAAAGCGATATAAACCAATAATAAATACACAAACAACTTTTATACAGGCTGGTAAGATATTTCTTTTGTTAGTGTTAGGAGTGAATTTATTTGAATTATATGTTTTTATATAAAAATTAAAAAATCTTATTGATACGATAAATGCATACCAATTTGAACATTAGTATAACTATCCACAATTGACATTGTTCCTATTTTTATGACGAACGAAGTCAATTAATTAATGGATAGTTTGTTCATTACTGTGGAAGAGAAAACTTGTAAAGTACCTGTATATACCCACATATAAGATCTAACACGAGGTCATTAAACGTACCCTTAATCCTGTTGTAGAGGTCTCGGAAGGAACGAAAGTGCTCTCAGGGACATAAACACTGGCCAAGTTGAATATACTCTAGAAAGGTGAAATACGGAGTAAAAACTGAGCAGACCATCACGGAAGAAGGGTTTCATCGGAATGTAAGTTGAGGGATTTATATACCACTATGTATTTAATATTTTTCATTCGTTCTTTGTAAATACATTGCGTTCTTAGATTTTAAAATATCCCTTATTTTTTTCGTTATACTTGATATTTTTTTTGTATTTTTAGAAATCTATTTCTTCTTTTTACGATACCAAGAACCGAAACGAACAAGTCGTGCACTGGTTAAGCGACACGCCTATTGACAATTCTTTCAATTACTTACTTACTGACCTATAAATCTCACAAAATTGAAAAGTTTATGCTCAAAGTTATTGGAATATAAAACCTACAATGTCGATGCGGTAACAATAAAATCCACGATGTTCGCATAACGACTCCTAAAACGTGTTTATACGTTATTGCCTCCCCTTATTATTACCTAGACTCAGACGAATGACAGAATGTGGTATACTTAAATCATTATGCGTGCAACACAAAGATTTGATGTCACAGAGTTTTAAGAATATAAATTAATAATATTACGTATAGCGAGACGCTCGGTAATACAATAAGAACATTTGCAAAACAAACTATAACATTTTGTTATACTCTAGGGATATCTCCCCGCAATTATAACACTCTGGAGAAACTCCCAGGGAAAGAAGGTTACAGTCAACACAAATCGTCTATACCTATAAATGGTTCTGTAGGTACGAGGAAAGCTGTGCGAATAATTGTATTTAGTTATAACTTCGCTTATTGTGAAGGTTCTACAAGAGATGTGTTATTTCCTTTTATTATTAGATTTTCATATTCAATGTAGGTAAGTCAATCAGGATAATTGCAAAAGCAAAAAAAAAAACAAAAAGAGCTATTGCTTCTTTTCAAAACCAAAAAATATTGTCCTTAGATAAACACTTACTCACAGTACACTCGCCAAGAAATAGCAATGCCATAAAAGCAGTTACATTTATTTGGTATGTGGCAGTTACCTACTTAATCACAACGCAAACAGCATATTCTGCTACAAAGTTCCATATAAAATATTTACAACTTGACTGCAAACAAATCTCCTTGGTAATAAGTAGGCGAATAGGGATTTAACGTTTACTTAAACACCAGCAGGTTAATGTTAGAATAGTTTGCTTTGCATAACGGCGACTCTCGGTCGGTATAATCTGCATAAATGATTGGATTGTTTACGCGCGCACTTTATTACTGTAGAAGGAACAATTAAGTATATAATATAGTGATACTAGCTGGTGCCCGCAACTTCATCTGCGTAGAATAAGGACTTCGAATAAGGTGCTGCACTATATTGATTTTCATAGTTTTATTGGTTCTCCTTACAAACTTTCATCTCCTTTTTCACCCTCTTTAAGAGTCGCTCGAGTTAAAATGTTGTCCGTACTAATATGGTTCATTTTGCTTGGGTCGAGCTCCAGGAACACTGGATTTATTTCGAAATTTATTTTTTTACAAACGAGTTTAAAACCATTTGAATAATGGATATTGTATACTATACGTGTTCTATTTAGTTCAGTTGATATTAAATAAATAATTGGTATACAAAAAGTACTTATTGAATACAGTGGTTTTCTTAAGATATGTTTGCGTATTTTTTTTCAACCTTGAACATTTTTAGGAATCGTGTTTTCACACCGTATAGTAATCAGTGTATATCTCCAATTTTACAATATATTTTTTCCAAAGCGATTTATTCAACACTATGAATGGATCAACCCAAGCCATTTGACGTAGTACTAACTCTAAGTTTTATATTTGTGACAAAAAGTAGCCTATGTCCTTCCCTAGATCCCATCTATCTCTACGCCAAAATTCATCAATGTTCGTTCAACGGTTTAAGCGTGAATATCTAATAGACAGAGTTACTTTTGCATTTATAATATTAGTATGCATGTAAAGGTTTGAATATATTCTAATTAGATTGGCGTATCTAAAATCCCTTTTAGTAGCAGCAAGTATCTATTTGTGAAAGAGCTCGACCAATCTTATCTACATACATCAAAAGTGTCTAGGGATCAAGTACGTTTAAGAGTATTGCTGCAATTAGGGTTAATTATATTAACTTTTTTGTATCGCTATTGATACTTTTTAGTGAGTTTTAACATTTAAATAAGGAATATTGTTTAAAATTCGATAATAAGAAGAAAATCGATTGTCAATGTGGTTTTGTATAAAAATGAGTTATAGCGTTTTGACAAAATCATTACAATATCTGCATCGGAACCGAAACAATTTACATTATTATGGAGAGACGACATCATTTAACCCGAGAAGTGATGATGCGAGCCGTCGGAATGTTGGAAGCTGGTTCCAGGCAACGTGCTGTGGCTTTCACTCTTAACACTACACAGAGCGTCATAAGTCGCCTCTGGACGCGCTATCGCATGACGGGCAGCGTGGCCGAGCGACATGGAGGACGATCTCGCATCACGACTCGCAGACAGGACCGGTATATCCAAAATACTGCTCGACGGAATCGTACCATGACCGCCATGATGTTGGTTACGAGGCTCCACAGCTCCTCAGACTTGCTAATAAGCGATCAAACAATCCGAAATCGTTTACGTGAAGTGGGTCTGCGATCCCGAAGGCCGCTCAGAGTTCCACCTATTGCACCCTGCAATCGCAGGACCCGTTTACGATGGGCTCGCGAACACAGAAACTGGGAGGAAGAAGACTGGCGCTATGTGTGCTTTTCGGATGAATCCCGCTTCGGTATGAGACCGGATACAAGACGTACTCGAGTTTGGAGAACATCTAGACGTCATGAACGTTTGAGATATTGTCAGGAAGTTCATCCATATGGTGGGGGAACAATAATGATATGGGTCGGTATTTGGATCGGCGGAAGAACCGATCTCATTTGGATCAGGGGTAACCTCAATGCTCAAGTTTACGCAGAGAGGATTGTTTCAGATGTTATCATCCCTTTGCGAGGCCAGTTGGGTGATTCATTTCAACTAATGCATGACAACGCACGTCCACACACGGCTAGAGTCGTAACACGCATTCTTGCCGAAGCTCGTATCAACGTTCTGCCGTGGCCTGCTCAATCGCCAGACCTCA